GCATTATCTGGAATTAGTTGTGGTTTTAATACTGATTGTGAATCGTTAAGTATAGTATGCTGTGTCCCAAAGCACCTAAGCACCTACTACAATGTGAATACAACGTGTGTATGAATAAAGGCTATCGTAAATGGTTACATATCGTGATCAGTATAAACAATAGGTCTTGTATTTACATAATACTCAACATGTACTCTGAACACGACAACGTAAATACACAACCAAATATTTCTTGTAGATCATTCGGTACACATGTCTGCTGATATTTCTCTCACTGACATAAAATTTCATGAAAACACGATATATATATAAAGAAAGCCCCGAAAGGCCAAGAGGTGAATACTTGTTTTTTTTTCAGGACACGAAAACTCGGAACGATATAGTAGGTAGTTCGTAAACGTTTCTGAACATTTCATTATATATACAGTAAGAATCAACAGAATACGACCCTTAAACCAAGTGTCGCACGCGAGGCTGTTATTTCGCTGTCAGGTCACCTCAGTTTCCAAAGTCAAAATCACATAGAGCCTATCATTTAACCCCGACTATTTCATCGTTTTGTTCCGTGCTAGTCGGGGGCAGGTCGAAAGCAAATGATCATTGAAACTGAAAATTGCCCTCATAGAACAAGACACTGTAGGCACTTTAAATGGTGTCTCGACTGTAAGACAATTCGACAAACGATGATAGAATAACAATTTACGATGTATCTTTTTTCAGTTTATATTTTTGTTGTTGCGAAAACCACTACTTATATTCCGGGTTTAATTTTTCTTTATCACCATGTCGACATCGATATCTCATATTCGATCGATCCCGGCAATGATACAATTATACAGACGCAGAACAAACCTATGTGTTTTCACCTTAGGTGACTTGGCTACTGTGTACCACAATGGGTCTGGGTGACTCGCTAGCCTGGCCTCTAACACTGTCTGACTGCGTCACGTTGGACCATAACTTACCTGTAATTACCACATATTAGTGTGTCTATTTACAGCTTACCTGGTAGTTACAGTGTTAGGAGACATGAGTACGTTTGAAGTATAATTCTAGTGATAAATTGTATAGATACTACTTGGTTTTCTACAGACATTCACACATTATATATAATCTTTAGCCGCTGTATATACATTAAAAAGATCTTCTCCACCTTAAGTATCCAGGACACTAATATTGACCATTAAAATATTCTTAAAATATTATCATAGGTATTAGATCTTTCACTCAAATGCTTAAATATTTTCAACAGGATTTCCAACCACATCCATATCAATTGACGACTTCATGAAGATGACTTTATTCTTTGTTTCAATTTTGCCATCTGAATCATACTGAAATAATTCGAATTTCAATATAGCTTCAGAATCGTAAATTCTGCAAGGTTATAATTAACATGAAATAAACTTATATTTGTGTGTGCGATTATAAGGGAGATAACACATTTATTTATTTGTAATCCGAGACCCACGTATTTTTCAATTCATAAAGCAGCGGTACGATCTGAGAAGAGAGGACCTGCAAGCAGCAGTGCTGTTATTTATGTTGCTATTGCCATGTGAATATAGATATTCATTAAAATGTTGAAATGTACTAAAAATAAATAATAAATCTAAAGCAAACAAACGTGACTTGAATTGCAATAATTTCAAATCTTCAAAAATTTCATTTTTGTATTCACACATATTCCTTTATCTTCTATTTATTTGAGTTATCCCTCTTGCAAGTCAGAGTTTGTTCATTGAAATTGTCATTCTACTCTAGGTCGGCAATTCAATAATCCAGCGTGGTACATCTATATTGTCCGTTGGACTATCAAACAAAATTCCGTTTATTGCATTCATATACTAATGTCAACAGCCTATGACACATGTACATATCCCTATAAAGGATGATGTATTTACTCAAAATCAAATACCTTCATCTTACAAGGGGATTACTGAATCATCTGGGGCGGATTTCCGTCATTACTTTTATTATTTTAATATGTGTCAAGTAAGGTCAAAGTCACACCGTTGCTTTTTTATGAGAGAAAATATGATTTATTTCTCATAAAGAAGCAGATGTATGCTATTATGTCAAGTAAGGTCAAAGACACGTCTTTGGCTTTCAAAGGAGACAAGATTATTGTTAAACAGCTGGGGTCCATGACAACCATAACGATAACAACTCGTGACAATTTTAGGTCAATAAGATTAACACAATTGTACTATTTTTTTATTTATCCCTTAAGATGTAAATCGAAATGAAATTGTGAAATAAAATCTGTAAAAAGATCCGTGTTTAACATCTCTGCCCTCTGATTTCCAGATGTTACTCTCTTTTAAGTTCTCTGCACCCATGAACAAAATGCCATGACAAAATCGATGGCACGCGTTGAACTATTTGATAAGACTCAGGTAAAAAACACAGCTGACGAATTACTAGGCTTATACCCGTCCTTTGAAGATTATAGAGAACGTTTAATGAGTGTTACAGCTGAGATTTCGGGGGTGACTATCACCGTGATTTTCGATTAGGTCAATCACCATTTCTGGCGTAGTAACCTTAACGCCATTACAGTTCTAACGCCATATCATAACATTTGTAATTACTGAACGTTTATAGCCGTTGTCTCTTTCATCTCCTTGAATTATAATTCAAATTTTATCAATAAATACAATATATAAGAATAAGACATTGTTAAACAAATAATGAAACATTCAATTAGCTTAACACTGCATTTATGTAGTATCAAGTATACTAAGGAAAGGGCATGTATACGATATGCCTGTTGCCCTGTTCCGATTGCACTTAAGATCTGTACAATAAAATATTCAGAAACAGAAACTGCATTAAATTCAGAGGCAGTGTCAAAATATCGAAATACATAACTGTAATGAACTAAGATACAGTGTTTGATTTGTCTGTAATCCTCTTCACGAAATTAGGAAGATTTCCCCAAGCAAATGCATTTTAGTGCTCACATAAATGAATAAGTGTTCGTGTAACAACGTTTAACATAGACTCTGAGCCTTGTATGTCAATTATTTTATGACACAGTGTCATAACACGGTATGGTTACCACAGACATCGGGTTGACTTTCATTAGTTAGAGACTGGTAGCGGTGTGAAGTTTATGTTGTCGGCTTTCATAAAATTATCACCTTTTTGATTCTCAAAAATTAGGATTACGAGTGTAAACATTCTTGTGGCAACACTTTGGTCGTTACTAACTATTATTATTCATTGTATATATATCTCGAACAATATTAAACTGTAAATCATAATGGAAGTTAGTTTGACTTTGTTTGGTGTTAAAGTAAAATGAAATACATTTTTGGACAAAATAAAAAATAAATAAAAAATGTGGATCATTATCTTAAATCATCACTTCAGGATATCATCAATAAAAAAATAATTATTTATATTAATAGATATAATAGCCTTCATAGATGTTTACTTATAAATACTCTTGTCATCACATATCACAAATGTATCTTCAATCAGTGTAAGACATTCACAGAAACAAAAAAAAAGAATTGTAAAGTACAATTTATATTACAGGAAAGCCATTCATCAGTAAAGAATGAGCTTATGAGATTACAAGGCGTGTAATCGATTCTATACATTTACTTTTTTTTCTATTTGCATGATGTATTGCGTCGCTTAGATAATATAATTTTCTTGTAATGCAGTAGTGTAAAATAATGCATACATCTTGTTATATTGTAACCCAACATAATACATTTATCTTGATATGAATCAGGAGCAAAGCTGTTGCGGAGGGAGAGAAACAACACTGCAACGTCTGTTATCGCGATGTAACGCGCGGTGATTCCCCTTCACACATCTGTATTCACTATCGATTAGGCATTCAGATTTTTTTCTGTTGTCATAAAAATATGTAGGTGCCATAACATCACACCTTTGCGATATAGAAAACTTGTATGACGAACAATAAATGTCAGAAGCCGAGACCATTGTGACAGCTCCCTGTGTCAGACTGAAAGCTCCTTAAGGTCTTACTAAGATTATGGAGGATATGGAAATATTTAAAAAAGAAAAATGTATATATATATATATATTAGTATTCCGTAGAAACAGCTTGACGTGCTATGATAACGAACACAGAACATGGAAAAATAAAATAGTCTTTGATCTTATTAATTGTCGGCTATTGTTGTCTGGCCCGCCAGAGCACATCACAATCAACAGAGTAGGGTCATAAACCTGTTACAAATGTTGGCGCCTTGTCAGTCGGGCTGTCGTTTTGACGAGATCTCGGTGCCGCGAGACTTGATGCGTGAATAGAAAATCGGATTGTATGATTCGCTGTCCATCATTTGTTATTATATCAAACATAGTAAAATTCCGACAGTTGATGAGTGGACAGAAATACCTGTTATAAAACTAACGTGATATGACGAGCTGTTGACATGAACGATTATATTATCACAATTTTGAGATAATCTAGACAACTACTTAGACGGATTCCAAACATTTACATAATAGTTTATTTTATATATAGTAACCTATCACACTGCCCTTTCCGGTATACATTCTTTAGATAGTTTTACATCAATGAAGAAAAATGAAACTACCATTCAGAATTTTTTTCTTTATATAATATGAAATATAATTTATTAGGATTATTTCCTTCATGTTAAAAGGAAATTATGTAATTTGGTTAATATTTTCAAAAAGGTTGAACGTAAATAGTTTGAAGCAACAGTTTAGGCCTGTGCATTTTTATCTTTATGATTACACAATATGAGGTATATTACCTCCCTTTTAACCTAATTGGTCATGATAATCATTAACCGCATTACCGTCTGTGTTAACTTTTGATATATCAACAAAACTATTAAAATGTATTTTAAGTGCATGAACTTACGGTACTGGTAACCTTTGATATTGTAATAAAACAATCAATATATTATGTTTAGCTTGCAAAAACTCTGATACTACCTTAATAGTAATGTAGATTTCTCATATTGAAATTATTTTATATCTTTCAGAAAATGCAGATGGCGAATCGAAAAGATCGAGAACATCCTACACACGGCACCAGACGCTTGAATTGGAGAAAGAGTTCCATTATAACAAATACCTCACAAGACGCAGACGAATCGAAATTGCGCATGCGCTGAATCTCACGGAACGACAAATAAAGATTTGGTTCCAAAATCGAAGAATGAAATGGAAAAAAGATCACAAACTCTCACATATAGCCAAAAACATGAACTTCTGTAATGCATTGGAAAAAGTGTCACAAGAGCGAGAACATAAGGGGACCTTGTGAATATGTCAGATAATAAATATACTCAAACTCTTAAGACGATGTGACATATCGCTTACTCACACAACCATTGACGTGTTCAATAGAACGTCATCACTTACGTCATTATCTATGGCGATAACGTCACGCAGATCCGGTTGATTCACGCCCATGTACTTGCTCTGCAACGACTGTGGAAAATCGAAGGATATTCGCAACGGATGGTCGCAAGATATTCGACACTGAGGAAAAGTCCCGGGTCCAGTTTAGAAAGAGTCTTTTAGGACGGTGTCGCCAATAATAACACTAAAACAGTATCCGATCAGTTATGTGGATCCTTTAGCATTTGGAAAGGTCCAATGAGCTATTTTAGTGTTCTTTTAAAACAAATATTGTATGAAAACAGATTATATCGACTAAATTAGATTAAAGGCGAATATTTGTGAACTATTTTCGTGTTCTTTTGAATCGAATAAATTATTAATGAAAGCAAATTTATCAGCGCTTAATTAGATAAAACTCAAATATTTGTAGCTAGGTTATTAATTATTTAAGTTCATTATGTTTGCTTATAAGATAAACGATTTCACATTTAACGGTGATTCATGACATAGTTTCAATATTCTACTATCGCGATTATCAGGGAAAGATTACCGACTGCTACATGCAAGTATGTTCATTGTCAATCATATGAATAAGGATTAGTACAATCAGGGGATGTTGCTAGATCGGCAGAGTATTTCAGTATTTTAACATAACATGTGTAGTATTTCAAGTCAATGTGGACGACACAGTAATTAACATGGAACAATTGCAGGGAAAACGAATGTGGAAAGTGTGTGTATGAGTTCAAAGTCGAGTGAGGTGAATGAATGGAATTTTGTATATGAAAATCCAGATATTGTAGTGCTTATTATGTTGGATGTGAGTAATGATATCGTACCGAATTAAAGGGACATATTTTGCAGTTCTGACAGAACACTGTCAATACAAAAAAACACTGATTACAAAATGTACAGGTTGCAATTCCTTCAAATTTCCACAGTGCAGCCGAGTGAAAATATTCGTGTTTTTTTTTATTATGTAGAGTAAAAAACGTTAAAATACATCTACACGATTTGACATTTTAGATATTTCCAAAGTGTGCCCCTTTAATGAATTTCGAAATTAGCTACTGAACATGTACATACTTTATATAACCTCGGTTTTCTTATCAGGGTAATGACGAGGATTATGTGTGAATTACGTAATAAATATATGCGTATTACGTAATTAATATTGAATACTTATAAATTGTAACTATGTATTTATGTAAGTAATTGTATCAATCGGCGATAAATATTTTCCGTTGATATGAGAATATTTTATTTAGCCACAATTCCAATCGTATCTGTGTCTGTTTCGTTATTTATGTCGTAATAGTCGAAATAGTGTTGGTCTTATTTTACATTTTCAAATTACAAAAAATATAAATATATAAATATATCTATATATTGTTTAGTGACTGAATTGATATACTTCTACAATCAAACTAAAGGAGAAACATTGCAGGTTGACGTTTCCCTGAGCTATATACATTTCACATAATGTTGTTAGCAACAATTTGAAGATGGATATTTAGGAAAAGGTTAAAGAGAGCTGATCTATTTATTTATATCATTTTTTTATCTGAAAGATAACAAGTTGTTATGCAACAACCGAAATAATAAAATGCTGAACTTGATACATGTTTTATATATATATGTGTTTCTACAATATCTTTTTCCATGATTCAGGACAACTTTCTGATACTATATTTCTTACTGTATGTTCATTACTTGGATTAAACGTGAACATTGTAAAGTATTCAAAAGAAAAAGAAGAAAACAAATGGCGCAAATTGACTAATCTTGCTACTGCCCTTTTTAAACTGAAGCCTGTACAAAGCAACACGAACCTTCTTGAAAATTAGTTTTAATTACGTTACATTGCAGTTCAATGTGCACAGAAATAAATTTGCTGATTTTCAAACAAACACATTTATAATTATATTTGAACTACAACATATGGACATCACGTATTTTTGCTCAATAATCCCAATAAAGAAATTCAATATAATACGTTTAATTTCCAATAGTTAAATTAAGAGTTTAACGTAAGAAATATATGTCTGATTTAATGTCTTTGAAAAGCACACAAATTGAATGAAACCGTAGAATAGAAATAACTTTAGTTTCATATTTCATTTAATTGTAATTCGTAGGAATTTTACTGCCTAGTTGTTAATTTGAAAATTAAATATGATGAATATAATTTATATTAAATGACTCATTTGAAGATATTTAAATCTCGTGACCTTCTACCTTCATACTGAGCATGTGTCCAATCATTATCATGTTATATATGCCATTTGTTCATTGTCAATTTCGGTAGCTATACTGCCAGTCGTATAACGTCAGCGTACGATTAATTTGGAATAAAAGATAATTTTAAGGAAAATTACTTTTGATTTCTAGTTGTTATTTTATAAGGGATATAGTTGTGGAGCTTGTAGAAAGTGTTTATATAGACATGGAATCATTAATGATATGCAGAATATTAGAAACCAATAGCATTCTTGCAACAAACCATTATAATCAACATGCATAGCTGAATACAAAACGGCATTGACAGGAAGTTGAAGTTGACTACAAAATACCACAAGGCATGCTTGAACCAACTAGTATTTAACTCATTCACCCCTGAAGTCAAATATGAGCTCTTCCAATTCAAAAGTTGGAATAGTTGAATTAATGCGACCTTACAATGCGAAAACAAAATGCATACCAACGAAGACCATGTGTAAGTGAAAGATATATCTTAATTCAAATTTACCTATAACAAATCTTGACAACAAACTTTACAATATTTTTCAAATAAAAGAAAATTTTGTCTATAAGTCAAATAACACATTTCCTTGCTGTCTTTCTGAGCTAAACATTTTGCTCAGAACCTTGATAAAGACAAACATATGCAAATAAGTGGGTCGTAAGACTTTATATTTGAACAGTCGTTTAAAATGAATTAATCAAGAGATGACATTTTCTATCAATTGTTTTATCAGTAGATTTGTTTGAATGCAAGGGGTATTTACTTACGATGTTTGAAGCTGTTTCTTAATATCTCTGTAAGACATCAACTGCGATAACTGATACGATAGGGATTACCGTAGTATTTCACTTAAAGTTCAGCGTCAATTATGTTAGCAAATGGGCTAAATGTTAACCATTTATTATATCTGCTTCATGCCTGTACTGATATATACATCCATGTCGATTTTACGTGATATTGTGCTAACATAAGCCTAACTTGTCCCCCTGATAAACGTGAGTATGTACAATCAACGCTCTTATAGAAAAAAGTAAATGAAAGTTATTTTTTCAGTTTTATCTGAATAACTCTTGCTAACTGTCGTCGTATTAAAGAATTTACACAATATCACGACTCGATTTGCAAACAAATCGCAAAATAATATTCGGGAACATTATAATACCTTGAATATTATTTTCGAGAGCTAAAGAATAATTTTACCAGATGGCTGCTTTAATATAGATTATAAATGTAATTTCTACCAATAAGAAAGGTTATTCAAACATCATCTTGAAATATCTAATGTCAGTCAGTAATTATAACAGTAGTAATCTGGTGAGGCCGTCGGCCAGGTAATTTGCCATTATACATTTCACTTATTGCACAGTTATGGACCAAATAAATAAAAACTAAGTAATACGCTATCCTTGCTCAAAGAACATGTATTAATAAGACTTTGAGCAACATTTCCAGGATAAAGGAATGCTCATGAACTAGGTGTGTTGCCTCCTGAAACGGGAATAGATACAGACGTCGTGAAAATCAATATTTTGCCTTAAATACACACCGTTCAATTCAATAGCATTCTTCCTGTTGTCAGACCATGCGTTTGAAACCCTAACACGCCTTGACAAAGTGCATTGATGTTATATATAATCCTTTCGAATATATTTTCGCTATATTTTCTCATTTAAGGTTATTCCTAAATCATCTGATTACATAGACTGAACAGAAGAACTTTTTCAGCAGAAAATGTATATGTCAATATGACCATTAAAATAAAGAAAAATGTGCAATCACTTATTTCAAATATGTCTATATTTTTTTCAAAATATTGAATTGATATTCCTTTGTCTTGTATCACTAACGTTACTATTTTACATTTATTTTTAGTATAACAGATATTTAAAACATGTTATGATTTCATTCGACTATTGCATTATATGTTGTAATGCTAACATCTTTTACGACAGTTACCGCTATATTAAACATAACTTGTGTTGCCAACAAAAACAATAAGCACACTGCTATATCGTTTGATTCATTTAAGCTTTATTTATGTAGGAATACCACACATTTAAAAGGAGATTAAAATAGTAATTTGACGACCCCTCACCTTCCCGAAAAACATGTTTCAAAGGGATTTAAATATATAAATGTTCTTTTCTCTCTCTCAAACATTGTTCAGAAGTGGATATTCTAAATTTCATCATATCAATGTTACTGTCATCACTTCCTACTATAGCCAAATATTTTAGTTACAATTTCTAATATCTTGTTTATAATGTGACAAGACGGTGTTCAAAAAATACTTGCTCAACAATATAATTACAACGACGAAAATAATTTTTGAAAAAAGTCAAAGTCGAATCCGAAAAGATTTTCTTTATACATGGACATACAAAAACGCTACAAATGTGTTACAACAATTTTATTTATTTTATTTTGTGTACGAGTTATAGATACATGTGTTAAAAAAAGAATAGACGTATATAGTGTTTTTAATATTGGTTCTATATATGCTATTAAGGTATCGTATGGTATACTGTTTGCCATCAATAGTCCCTGAGCGAAAGACGAGTGAAATATGACCTCAAGGCAGGTACTATGAAGCCGTGATACAGACTTGAACTGTATATCACGTATTTGTCATACTCCAATCCCTCTTAATCATACACAAATAAAGTCATAGATTTAAAATCCCTGAGGTGAGAAGAGAACTTGAAAGTAGCAGGTGTGTTGTTACCAGTGGTCACTCACAGGAAGTGTTTTACTTCTTAGCGCGTGCGTATATATTTTACTGCCTAAAAGAGTAATGTACAAGAATATGGCAGAGTGATTGACCAAACACATTTCGTAGAATTTCTGTTGAGCCTATATATCACTTCAGCGATAGGGAAAGTCCGGTGCACTCTGCTGCTCTCTTCATATATATATATAGAGAGAGAGATAATATCTTTGAACAATGATTCCCCGTCTAAAGAAATAAAATCAACAATTTACTACTTCATATCAAATAGTTATTTAAACAATACATTAAGTAGGTTTTAAACATACTTTTACAATACACCAAAGTAGTGTATATATGATCGAACATTGCAAACCATTGAAGAAACAGTTTTCGTATAACTTGACATGTTTAAAAACATGAACAGTATTTCTTCAAAGTCCGAAAAAAAACAATGTTATCTTAGTACATGTAATTGTGACTACCTCGTTAACGTCTTGGAAAGCCTGATAACGAAGGTCAATAGTCAACGATCTCTCATATCTGACCAGAAATAGTCCTTCCTATTATACATGGAAAACACAACCAGATATTGAAATGATCAATGTTTTTGTGCAAATTTGAACTCTTTCCTTATCAGTGCTATTTAGAGGTGATATTTCGCATTCATCCTAATACGCAAAAGCGTTTTATCATTTCATTAGATATTATAAATTATTATCTCCATGACACAGAACCCAGGTTATGACCGTAAAAACAGCATTGAAAACTGTCAGAGAGATTACGACAAAAAGTGACAGTATGCTTAGGATGTAGGAACAAGATTTATTTGAAGTTGTTTACTATTTGTGATGGATGTTATGGGACTTGATGGTAGAGATAATTTATTAAAATCATAATTCTCAGATACATGAAAGACCCTTTTAGACAAAAATAAGTATGAAATGTATCGCTTAAATTATTGTTATCTGTGGTATTTCTTCGTTAATTCGATCTGGTAATAATCTGGTATAAACAAAGACTGCTGACGAAATTTTGATCTTGAGTAAAATGTAATTACATGCAGTTATAATAGAAGCATGCAAATGGCTATGTAATAAAACACGTCGAATTTAATTGAAAATTTGAACAAACAATTTCAAATGTCCTTAAAATTTCGAGTAGTTTTCAAACTATTAGAGAATCTACAGAGATTAATTTAGTTAATTTACCTCAAATGTAAACTGTCCCCGAGTTAATCAAGGTACCGATATTCTCATCGCTTCGTATACGTATAATATTTTTTTATCATTTTAAATGTTACTACAGATATGTTACATGTACTGTTAGCTTTATTTTAGCTATTAGTGATGGATTGCAAATAAGTAAAAGGGAACGCCTCAAGTTTAGAATGAAACAAGTTGAAATATTATCACATTTTCAAAGGAAAGGTGCTATCAGAAGCTCAAAATGAGTTCATAAAGGAAACTACATTCAACGAAATCTGAGAAGATAAAGACTTATTTTGTAACACGACTGGATAGAATAGTTTTTAAAAATAGAAACAGTCATAGTATGAGAAAAAATGTAACAGGAGTTCTCGTGTTAGATATATCGCACAGAACAAATTAAAAATGTACAATTAAAAACTATGAAACAGTTTTTGTCAATATAATTTGAATATACGCATCTGGGGAAAAAATATATATTTGCAAACGTTAGGAGCCTTTACGGTAATCCTGTGGTTTCAGGGTATCGCTGTTCTCATCTTCTGGTGCATACTTTTCTTCACAGCCCCAACATGTGTCTAAAGAGACTGGTATATTAAAATCACATTAAATGGAACTTAGTAAATGTTTGGTATGAGGCCGTGGAAGAAAAACTAGCAAGTCATTACCTTGTCCTGCCGATTTGATGTTAAGATGTTTTAATGTTTAGTTTTGTTACAATGCCATAAATCATATTTCGCTGACGAGAAGCGGTATATTAGATATCATGATTCCACAGTGTTTCTTCGTCTGTACTTTAGAAATTGGAATTTTCATCTTATAAATATGATTTCTTCCGAGAGGAAAAAAAAATACATATCTCAGCATGTCAAAATATATTTAGTTTCTATATCATAACTCATGATGAAATAGCGGCGTTTGAGAGCAATATGAGTTCCATTACTGTATACTTGAGACGAGAGTGGTATGTCTAAAACGGTATATCTGATATTGAGATATACGACGGACAACTTACTTGTAATTAGTAAAGTGGGCTAAACGCACGGATATCATTAGCAAAGATAGCTTTTGATAAATACACCCAAAGTCATTTAAAATGAATGAATTAAAAACACTTCCATCATAGCAACATCCTTCAAGTAACAGTAAAAAAGGGGAAAAAAACAAGCCGTTTCTAATGTCTTGTTATATTTCATTTTAATAAATTTAATGTAGTA